TTATTTTTTCTAATTTTTTTTTATTATTAAGCTTTTTAATTAAAATTTAATTTAACTTTTTTAATTATTCAGTTAATAATTTTTTCCAGTTCTCCCAAACGACTCTTCTCAGCGTCTGTCTACATGTCGTAAATTGGCACATACAACGCGATGAACATAGATATTTTAACGAATTTATTACGAAATATTTGCGTGATTTTTTACTTTCCGCATCGTTTAGGAAATGTGTCAACCAACTAATGTAAGTACAATAAATTATATATTTTCATTTATTTCATAGCTCCAATATCTTAAATACACATTATTCCATTCAAATAGTACCTCCTCTGTAATTCTACGCAAGTCAGGCGATCGCCGTTATGTGCATACACCGCTACCTAATGTAGGCGCTGTGCTATTGCATGAGGACGGTCCCCAGTTGATTATACCGCAAGCATATAGCCTTTTTCTACTAAACACCCTGTGGTCTCACATCGAATTACAAATATCTCGAAGTCACGATGAAGCCCATAAGCCACTATTATATGCTTTGATGACGCCACCAATAGCGGAGACTTTTGTACAATATCTCACCTTGCTCTCCAACAATTTGAATCATTTTTTATGCAGTAACTTTTACACGAAAATCGAAGTGCAGTTCGTTTATAAGTTGCTGGGCTGCAGTGAATTGCTGCAGCACTTCAACTCCTCGCAAATACTACAACTCGTCTATAATTATTTGTGTTGTCTCGGCGCCGAGCATATACTGGAGATAGAGCAACTTTTCGAGCGTATAATATTCAATACGCAGTATTTAAATGTGTCTGAGTCGGCGTTAAGCAAATGGAAGGAGGTTTTTATCAGCTTGGCGCAGTCGCACTACATTGTTGTGGTGAGTTTTTTTTACGCTTCACATTTAATTAAGAAATAAAATAATTTCCCTACTCTCTCAGGAACCTTCGAATTTGAGCTTGACCAAGTCATCACACACCAGCGCTATTTTAACGCGTGATTGGCCTTACTTTTTCTTCAAAATCATCTTACAAAACTTCCTTGATAATGCGCCACAAAAGATAACGGTCGATTTCTCTGGTATATTATTGCAATTATTTATTTATTTCACATTGGAGTTTTTATAAATGATATCCTTATACATTTAGAACGTGATATTTTGGAAATGACTCTCACACTCGTCACCGAGTTGGAGGATTCGAGTTCGAATTTGAAAATTGTAACGCCTACCGAAGAACTTATGTACGCTATGACTGCGTTTATGGGCCCCGAAAGTGAATTTCTGAATGAGGAAATACGTCCGTTGCTGCGGAAACATTTGCTGCGTTTTTATGACAAATATCAGAATTATACATTCGATTTGGATAAGGCGGTCATAGGTAAGCATTTGATGTGGCAAATTTTGTGGACTAAAGCTATGTGCAATTTAAGCAATTTTGCAAAAAGTAATGCATTAACATCATTTATGCACCAGTATTGCATGGATCAACCGCTGATTAGAACTTAACGCCCAATGTAACGGCGAAATCGGCATCGGCTCATCGCGACCATCTCTTCGTTTAATCTTTTGCTAATCTTCTGCTTCGGTTGCAACCGTTTTGGTGTACAGGTTAACGGTGCATCTTATCACACAGTCGGATCGGATTCTAATAATCAGTCCAAATGACCTCAAAAAGTAGTTTTTAATTTATTTTCTGAATTAATTTTTTAATTTTTTNATTTTTTAATTTTTTGTTTATTTTTGTGGTCTGAAAGAGTAAAACCGACTAATGCTTTTGTTTTCACAATCACCCAGCTTGTTTTTGCTTACATTGCCCGATTTTCCATTTCTCATTTTTATTATTGTTGTTGTATGATTGCTGTTATTTTTATTTATTTATTTATTTTTGTTTTGTATATCTTTTTTTTTTATATCTAAGAATTGTTGTCCCTCTTTCGTTGCCGGCATTCGTTCGTATATACGTTATTATTGCTTATCTTTTTTTAGTTTTTTATCCAACGGTACATCAGTTAAAGTGCCTTGTTCGACATAGATAGATAGATAAATAATTGAGAAATGCACTGCGACCTTAGGTCTATTGTGCAACTCACCGGGACTCGCTTAGCCCCAGCATATTGATGAAGTACAATAATAAGCAATATTGATGATTCAGTATTCTGCTGGGTGCTAGCGAGGCGATCCCTATCCGGAAACATGGCTCCTAGGGCCTTCGAGACTGCAATGCAGTCGATTAACAGGTGCTCCGGGGTTTCAGGGTCCCTGTCGCAAAACCGACAGTTGGCGCAAGATGATAGGCCCATGTTAGCTAAATGCCTTTTCAGCTTAGAAGGCCTTTGCAGCTTGGCATGATGCATACCGTGCGCTCGCTGCCAATACCTTTCCCTGCACACTCTTTCTTCCATGCAGAGCAGCTCCTTCACAGTATGGGGACCCACCCCAGTGAACGGTTCGGGCCCAACCATATTGGTGGAGGCTGCGGAGCGGGCCAGTTCGTTGTCGGCTATACCCCTGTGACCGGGCACCCAGATTAGGTGCACCTGGTTCTTTCCAGCTAGGTTGGTTGTTCAGCCGTTCTCTGCACTCCTGCACCAATAGCGATTTGATCTCGTAGGAGGAGATCGCTTTTAGTGCCGCTCGACTATCGCTAAGTATAGCTATTCGCTCGTTGCGATAGTTGAGGTGGAGGTTTATCTCTATACACCGACTTATAGCCAAGACTTCAGCCTGAAAAATACTCGGAAAACTTCCCATCGGAATGGAGAGCTTGGTACGCGCACCTGCAATACCCGCACCTATTCCTTCCGACGTTTTCGAGTCGTCAGTGTACCACCTCAATGTTCTATCCCTTAGCATTTGCTCAAGAGTGGGGTCGTTCCACTCACTCTKGCTACCGAGGGTAACCTTAAACCTTTTCGTGAAGTGAGTTGTTTTGGTAATGCCGTCCTTTGGGAGGAGGGCAATAGGAATGTCGCCACTTATCCTCTCCATCCTCTGTGACGAGATTATCTTGCCTTTGCCGCATCCCTCTACTGTTATCTGCAGAAGTGAGTGCATGGCTACTTGACCTATCATTATATGGAGCGGTGTGAGTTGCAACACGATCTCCAGAGCTGCCGTCGGACAGGTCCGCATAGCGCCCGTCATGCAAACACATGCTAGCCGCTGAAGCTTCGATAGTTGGGTTACCACCGAAGCCTGCGACGTTACGGAGGCCCAGGACAGCGCCCCTGTTTCGACATGGTAGAATTAAATGTATAAGTTAGTTTGCTCCTACTGCAGTCAAAGGACTGTCAATTTGGCAGTATTCCACTTCATTTTTCTGATTTCTACCGCTACAACAACAATACCATGGATAGGTTAGAGGGCTGCAGAAGACTGGTTGGTCAGTCCTTAACAACGCCGCACCAATATGGTCGCTAAGGAGCTTAATGAACTCCTCTCCAAGCAGTTTGGGGAGTTTTCGTAGAAATCATCGCTGCAATCAGCTTGAAGCGGGACTGCCGCCAAGGAGCTTCAAGGGGTCCTTCCTCAAACATGTCGACAACATAAGACAGACTTCGGACGCATGACTCTAACGACCTCTTTGCATACCCAGCTAACCGTACACATCTGACACCACACCCCCTATGGTACGACACATCTAAGCAGAATGCTTCTTGGACCTACCGTAGGATGACCGCGATGACAGCTTATCTATCAAACCTCTATAGGTCGGAATTCAATCTGATAACATATGTTAACCGTATATAGGGAAACTTTTTCTGGTTTCACGAGCTAACACGAGCTCCTCGTCCACCACAGGAAATTATTTGACTCTGAGGACATTGATAGGCTTCTAGTATTAATATATACATAGCCTTAGAAATAAAAATACAACTCTGCTATTAGTTTACAACATTTTAATTGCATTTCTTGCAGGCAAGTGCAAGTTCGAGAGTTTATACTCCTTATTCGTCGATCACTTTCAAGCCACCAGCTACGGCGATGAATTATTCGGCTCCTTAATACTGGTGCCAATGGCGCAGAAATACGACAGTAAGTGGCGTCGTCGTATGTGGTCGGATTATGCGCCTGCGCTGTGTTATCTGAATTGTGATGAATCGCTGGTAAGTGCTTGTCTCTTAATAGACTCTAAAATGTTCCCAACTAATATTTACTTGCAGCTCATAAATGGCTTGGGCGCGTATTTTGAGCCCGCCGAACAGGATGAGTCTTTAATTAAAGCCTACGCGCTCATTCTGAATACGAACGAAGTGCGTGTTGGCACTATACCCTATAAGATTGCAAAATATCACTTGGAACATTTTAAAAAGACATCGAAAAACTAAAAATAATTTAATAAAAAATATATTATAAAGTGATAATAAAAAACTTTCTATTCATAATATTTATAATACTACATTTAACAATGTGAAAATTTGCTACAAAACCTCATTAATAATTATCATTGGCAATGGAATCCAACAAATGAGCAAAAAATAAAGTTTTTGAGTTTTCGAAAATACGAATTTTCGAAATTTCGAAATACAAGAAATCCAGCAAATCAGAAATTTCCGTCAAAAACAAATGTTTCTGAGTTTTCGAAATTACTAATTTTCGAAATTTCGAATTATAGGAAAATCCAGCAAATCGACAAAAAAAAAGGTTTCTGATTTTTTTGAAAATGCAAATTTTCGAGATTTCGAAAGACAAGAAGATCCAGCAAATCGACAAAAAGAAAAGTTTCTGATTTTTTTGAAAATGCAAATTTTCGAAATTTCGAAAGACAAGAAAATCCAGCATATCGGCAAAAATAAAAGTTTCTGAATTGAAGATATTTATAAAATTTCTTTAAAAACCAAAAATTTTTCAGTTTTCAAAACAACGAAGTTAAGGAAATGGAACAAAAAAATAAATATGGAAAGCAAAAAAAATTATTTATGAGATGTAATGTTAGCTGAACAAATAATCACTGCAAATTCTTCGGATATTTTTCAAATTTTTTGGATAACTTTCAATTTTTTTGGAAAACTTGCAAATTTTTCGACGCTATATACTTTCAAGTGTTTTCTTATACCTGGTAACGCATGCATCTTATACCTCGCCTCTTTCATTCATAAAATTTACTACAAACAATATCCATTTCATCTGCTTCAATTCCGCGCAGGATCCATTTAGCATTACAACAATCAAAGTTTCGTAATTTCGAATTCGGTTTCGGAATTCCTTAAATAAGGTATGTAATAAATTATTGAGTTCTATAGCGCAGTATTTAGTTTGATCTTGGCACTTATAGAATGTCAATGAAAGCTTTTCTTTATTACACTTAATTCAATTGAAGCTTGACACTTACATACACACACACATACACATTTGCACGTGCTCATACATGTCTAACAAATATTTTATAATTACAATTGAGTTCACATGTGTAATTTTTAAATGCACCCGCTGATTGTTGGAATATGTCAGAAAATTTAATTATATCGTTGGCGTGGGACAGGCGAGCCCGTAAAACTAACGCCGTAACGTTTTTTTGTTTTATTTCTTGTTTTTGTTTTTTTTGTTTTTTTTTTTTTGTTTTGGCTATTTGACATATCGTTGCATTGCAATTGACATTAATTAACCCAAAAATTATAGTTTTAGCTAAAAATACAGTTGATTTGAGATCAGTGTGTGCGTACATGTCGATATATACATATAACCGTTTTTATGTGACAAATTGTCTACCGTGCGAAAAAAAACTAAAACTCGATAAGCTTAGTAGAGCTTATTTCAATAAGCTGTTTGACGTAATTGCCTAATTTATTCTTAGAAAATTAAATCTAACTGTATTCTTTGAATATTTTGAATTTAATCACAGTCTGACAAAAGCCGGGCAGTCCAGAAAAAAATGTAACAATATCATTGTTGTTGTTGTAGCGACAGAAAACATTCCTGAAGTAATTTCGAGGAATGGTGCCGAATTGATAGTCCTTGATCGCATAAAAATCTGGGTCCGCTCCGATTACTGTTGTGATTCCAAAGCGCCTTCATTCATGCAGTTTTTCCAAAAAGCGTTCGACAATATACCATGTTTAGCCATAACCTTGTGAATCTATTGGAAAGTGTCAAGCCAAAACACCTATAATTACAAGGCCTATATAGCAACTCTGCTATCGTAGTGGATGCGTATCTCCGTAAAAGAAGCCGCACCTCGCAAAAGTAATACCTTACTAACAGCCGCCTCCGCTTGGCTAACGCTACAGACAGTAGCAGCCTCTGTACTTCTTTTCCAACCACACGCTACGACCATAAATTCCTCACAGGTGTGGGAGCAGAGAAGGAACCGACAAGAGAAGATTTCAAGATACACAGGTCCGGAGTGTCAGGAACGTAATCAAAGTAGCATACAATTTTAGTATTTCTCTACTTGGGACGCCTCATATAAAGCTTAGCTGGCCCACTCTACCAGATAATGGGTGTGCTATTAAACATTGACTCAATCTCTGTTTAGTAGAGCCATAACACCACTTTTATTGAGAGGCTGCACATCTTGCCAATTCTGCTTCTCTACAGCGGTACAAGACTGCCGATGCCACCCCATTCCATCCCCAATTTTTGGCTCCCATTGACACTTCCTATCCAGGATCAACCCCAAGTACTTGACCATGTCCACAGCGCAAAGAGGGAGTCCTCTCGACCTACACCTACCACATCAACTTAATGATCACTTGAAAATAATGTGCTCTGAGGCCCACCATGGTTTTAACGGTTGTAGGTCACCCCAATTAACATTTAACTTTAGGCACGAAAAAGTCATTATCGCCGGCATTGACTTTTTGAGGATATAACGCCTTCTGAACAATGTCTTGTGGATTATCATCATCCCAAATGCGAAAATTTCGTTTATTAACGGGGTCGGTGACCATTTCGTTTTGGACTTATTCATCGAATATGCGATACGCTTGTTGGTCGTTCGGCTTCAATTCCTTCACGATTTGGATTTTGCAAGCCCTCAAACCAAATTCCTTCGCCGAAATGTTCCATAAAGTCAATGGATCTAGCTGCGATTGCTACGCACGATGTCGGATGGACTCATTTGTGTATTCTGCGATACTCTACTGCACAGCAGCAATAACGCCTTCAGTGCGCACTGTACATCGACTCAGAGGATGCGTCTTATTCACTAGAGTAAGCATGGTACGAAACTGAGCTATAGTTACTCCAATTATCGAATATTGGAGGCGGCGTGCGATGCGTCGCGCGAACTATTATTTTGGTAACAAATTTGCGCAATTTTCAAACCTTGTACCGGAGTAAGTTTGTTCATTATCAAATGGCAAACCAAACTGAGTGTAAATCAAGCACTCAAAAATATCAGCTCCCAAAAATAGTGCCTCAATGACTGTTAGACTACAAAAAGTTTTTTTTTAGCCATTAATTTTTTTTCATATTTTCAAGCTTTCGGCAATCTTGTATTATGCATATAATATAACTCCTACAAATGTTTTCTATCAATTTAAAATTTTTTATTTTCATAAGAAAAAAGGCATTATCGTTTCATCTTTTTTATCTCACCTTTTGACACAACCAACTCTCCCTCTCTCTCACACTTTAGCAGTGCTCCTTTGCGCACAATAACATAATTAAGTATTCGCTAATAGAAGCGTGATATGCTCCAAATAATTCACGCTTGCCCAAATTAATCGTATGACCGCATATGTTTACCTCCTCATTTAGCTTCTAACGATCAATATTTTTGGCATTTTGTTTTGTAACCGAAGTTTGATTAAATCTTATTTTTAATTTTTTTCCCATGAGGGTTTAATATACATACATATATCAAATAGATAAAGAATAATATTTCTCTTTTCACCGAATTAAATTAAATTTTCAAGAGTTCAAGAAGGTAACTTAGTTTTAGTCTAGCCGACAAATTCTCATGTTTCCGTCTTCAGGCTCTTGTTATCTTACAATAATGAAACTAATGTTGCTGAAGTCGTAGGGGATAGAAGTTGCTGATCCAATCCAACATACTATTAATTAAGTAAATTTGATGCAGATCCGTTATCTATCACTTAAATATGAATTATGTTGACAACGACGTTACCGAGGTTCTTGTGATTATATAGCGATTGCGTAATATTGAGTTGTCGAAAAAGTCTTTTCGTATTTCAAACCAAATATACCTATTTTTTATATTGTATTGATAATAATAAATAAATAAACAAATATGTACCCTTTTGGTCGAACACGAAATTTCGAAATCTAGAACGGAAACGAGCAAATCATTATTGTGCTTCACGAACATCGTCTCCGTAAACATCAAAAATTTCATTGGTGGCTTGCGTGGCATTTTTCCCTTTTTTATACCTTGTCTGAGAGGTCGTTTCCAATTATGATGGAATCAAATTTTAACTTCACGGCATAAAGGCAACTTTTTTTCGTGCTGAAATCGACGAAGAGGTGGTGTATGTCGATCCCCTTTTCACGGGTCTTTTCCAAGACTTAACGCATGATGAATATCTGGTTAGTTATTGATTTTCCAGGTCTAAAGCCACACTCCATCGGCCCACGCCGCTTTGTTGTTCTGCAGGCGGGTAATTGCTATTCGAACTTCTTCATAGTCAGGCAATAGAACGTCCAGTCTATCGCCATAGATTGGGGAACTAACTCTTGGTGTTTTCTTTCACTACCATTCAGCAGGCTAGAGAAGTGTTCCCCCATATCTGGGGTTTCTACAAGAGTATGCTCCGGTCTTCAAACCTTCTGTTAGTCGCCGCATCTCTTCGTAGAATTTTCGAGCATTACCCCTRTCGGCCAGCTTATCAAGCTCTTCGTACCCACTCATTTCAGCCTCTCTTTTTTTGTCTGCAAGTGCGTCTCGCTTCCCTCGTCAACTCTCGGTATCTATCTGTTACTGTACTATTGTTCCTAATGAAACTAGTTATACTGCTTTTGTTTAGTACAAGCAACCACAGGGTTTATAAAAATATTACACATGTATGCTAATATACAGAACTGAGCAGAAATGAGTCAACGCACATATTCGCTCACACAAAAAAATTTTTGATCGTAGGAGAAAACAAATGCATGTTACTCAAATTACAAAGCTTCGTGTGTTATTCTCTATTTTGGTGAATACACGTGCGTTAAGTACCTGTTAGGAATCTCTTTCATTGTAATAATAAATTAATTTTTTTTAATATTTTATTCTTTATAACTACGGAAATTAAACTCTGCAGATGTTTTAGCCCACAATCCACTCAATGATATTTTCACACACTGTGTATGCATAGATATATGTATAATACGTATACAATATGCACAGGTATTTGTATAGGTACACCAAAGCGTTGTAAGCTCGCATTGACCTTATAAAGCTTATCCAAAGAAAGACAACTAGTTCTTGCACTTCCAGCAAATCTAGAAAATAATTGTAAGTTAACAATACTCACAGTAGCAAAGTAAGCCAAATAAACGATTACCATTGAAACGTTAAGTGTTACTATGTAATGTAAATATGTCTTAAATACATACATATGTACATATAGTTATTTACTATATCTATTTCCACAATTAATACTTTTGTGTGATTCACATTCATTACAAATTCCAAGCTTGTTTG